TTCTGTGATCTCTAAGTATGGATGCAATGGAGAAGAGGGGAGATCTATGGCTTAAAAAGCTTTGGAACTGCTGAATCAAAGTTAGTCACATTTCTTCAAAGTAGGATCCTCTGAGAATTTATCATTCAAGTGGGCTTTGCAACTTTCTGGGATTACAGTTTTCAGCATCGGATCTTATTTGACTTTGGAACCCCTTTTTTATTGGCATGCCAACAAATCATGGAATACCAGTGTTCTGCAGAATTGGTTTGAGAAATGCAAATTAGAACAGTTTATTTCAAGATTTCATCCAAAAGTAGTATAAACAAAACAAGCTTAGAAGAAAAAATAAATTTAAAAAAGGGAAAATGTGAACTTTGATAAATTTCCCTAGTGATAGAATTCAAATTAATATATGAAAGAATTTGACATTAAGAATCAGAATAATTATTAAATTAGATTAAATACAATAAAATACTTTCTTACAAGTAGCAAGTGCAAAACCAATGATATATTAAATAAACTTGGTTTATTTAAAAGAAGCATTATTCTATTTTGCTTTTGAAAGTTTTCAAGTTGTATGATTTTGGGGGATATAGAAAAGGTAGATGATTGATAGCAATTTTATTTTTCCATTTTAGTAGCTAGTAAATAAAAATCTATTAACCTAAATGAGGAATCATGTTTTTTTGTGTGTACTAAAAAAACAGTAGTGGGTAAATTTCTAAGTGTTATGAAGGGAATTGTTCTTGCTATTATTAAAATGAGTTGGGTATGATATATCCAACAAAAATTTGTTCTATTAATGACCATTAATAGAACATTCCATTCCATTCCATTCCATTACATTCTATGGAATAAGGATGACCCCTGGAAAATAGTTAGCAAGACTTTATATCCCATAATAAGGATATTTCTTATGTAGGTGCTAAATTATTTTTCCTCTAAGTCATGAGGAATATATGTCTATCAACAGAACAGATGCCTTAGGAATAAATTTTAAGGTGAGTAAAATATTTCATTCTGGCCAAAACCAGTTTGGCTCAGTGGATAGAGCATCGGCCTGCGGACTGAAAGGTCCCAGGTTCGATTCTGGTCAAGGGCATGTACCTTGGTTGCGGGCACATCCCCAGCTGGGGGTGTGCAGGAGGCAGCTGATTGATGTTTCTCTCTCATCAGTGTTTCTGACTCTCTATCCCTCTCCCTTCCTCTCTGTAAAAAAATCAATAAAATATATTAAAAAAAATATTTCATTCTGACCATAAAGATTTCTTTTATTTTTAAAATTAATTCTATGTCTTTTAAAATTTTCTTTATTGATTAAGGTATTACATATATGTCCTTATTCCCCCAACCCCCTCTCCAGTCTCCCAACTCATGCCCTCACTCATCCCCCCTGGTATCTGTGTCCATTGGTTAGGCTTATATGCATGCATACAAGTCCTTTGGTTGCCCTCTCCCCCTTACCTCCACCCTCCCCCACCTTCCCTCTGAGGTTTGACAGTCTGATTGATGCTTCCCTGTCTCTGGATCTGTTTATTTATTTATTTATTTATTTATTTACTTATTTGTAAAATACAAATACAAAACTCAATTTATTATTTTTTATTTTAGTAAACAATAATGTCTTTGTTCCTCTTTCTTCTTTTCTTCACCATTTTACACAGGACCCATTATTAGTGATTTCAAAAGATGGAAGGAAGGAGAAAAAATAATTTTAAAATATCATGGAATAATTCATAAGAAGGAATACTTCCTGAATGTCCTGTAATTTCACTCTCAAGTAGGAATTTTAAAACTTCAATGAGTGAATCTCTGTCTCCTGGGGGAAAGGAGGTTTCCCTTCCTTAGTTGGTCAGATCTCCCATCTGCCTTACACCAGACTATTCCTCATCGTAACTGCGACTGTTATGCTTCTAGTTGAAAGGACACTGGATTTATGTTGTAGAGCATGTGCAAATGGGACAATGGAGTGGAAAGTTTGATTGATTGTATTCGCAGGAGGTCTTCTGAATGCCACATGAGGCTTGTGGCTAGTGTTCTCCAATCTTCACAGCAAGTTGCAGCTGTGGGGATAGGATGGGCCACCTTGGGCAGGCTGTATTTCTCAACCTATTCACCTTAGTTGTGTTGACATAGGCTGTGGGCATCTCAAGCTCTTTGGAACAGTGCACTAATCACAAATGACAGACACTTTTGCCACCAGCTCCTGTTTCCCAACAGCAGAATCTTAACTACCCTTCTATTCCAGAGGAGACCACAAAGGTGAGGCCTGACTTGTATTTCATATTATAATGAAAGGATGGTTACATGCCAGCAGTATATTAAAACCATAAATACTATAAAAGATGAGTTTGCACACACTGTTTTCTCAGAAAAATATTTTATTTTCCCCCAGACTAGGTGAGAACCTTTGTTATATAATGCCCTGAATTCATCCTTTGTGGCACTCACAGCTGTTGTCATGAATTAATCCATTATTTGAGGAATTATTTGTCTCTTATTGGTCCTCAAATATTGAATTTTAATTCTGTAAGTATACAAATCTCTCTTTCTCCCCAGCACTCAAGGCAAAATTTGGCCATAACCCTGCCTTTCCCTATCTTTTTCTCCCCTTCTCTCTCCTCCTCCCTTTTATTCATGAATAATTTAGTCCTAAAGCCAGTAAGTGAGGTAGAATGGGGTAGATGTCCATGGTTGAAAGGGGAGAGGATGTAAAGTACTGGACCTGGATGTCAGAGTCCCACCAGGGTGAGGAGGGCATCAATATCCTAGTACAACCAAAGGATGGACTTATTTGTCCCACACCAGGAAACTCTTGGCCTATTCAGCCACTTTCATAAGGGGAGAGAGGGCCATCAAATTATGAGTACAAGTCCAGGAAGCACACAGAACTCCAAACAAAAGGAATCCAAAGAGGACCACACCGAGACACATCATTATTAAAATTCCAAGAGCAAAAGAAAAAGAGAGAATATTAAAAGAAGCAAGAGCAAAGAAGGTAGTAACCTATAAAGGAGCACCTATATGATTGTCAGCTGACTTCTCAACAGAAACCATGCAGGCCAGAAGGGAATGGCAAGAAATATTCAAGGTGATGAATAGCAAGAACCTACAGCCAAAAATAATCTACCCAGCAAAGCTATCACTCAGAATCGAAGGCCAGATAAAGAGCTTCACTAATAAAAAAAAAAAGCTAAAGGAGTTCATCACCACCAAACTAGAATTATATGAATTGCTGAAGGGGGTTCTTTCAGAAGAGAAAGTAAACAGATAAAAATTATGAACAACAAATACGTAACTATCAACAAGTGAATCTAAAAACCAAGGAAATTAAAAAAATCTGATGAACAATATTAACTGTTAAATATAATAGAATCAGAGGTATGGAAGGGGAGTGAACTGACGATTCTTGGGGAAAAGGGGAGAGGGGGGCGTGGGAAGAGACTGAACATAAACTGTGCACCTATGGATGAGGACAATGGGGAGAGGGGGAAGGGCAGAGGGTGGGGTGGGAACCTGGTGGAGGAGAGCAATGGTGGGGAGGGAAGGAACATTTGTAATAATATGAACAATAAAAACTTATTAAAAAAAAGAAAAAAAATTATGAGTGCAATTAGATAAAACATCTGTTAGAATTTTTTCATTGCTTTATCCAGTTTTTGTGGCATTGTAGAGACAGATTACTAGTTAATTTAGATTGATGGCCAGTAGTGTCAATGCTAATTGAATTTTTGACTGGATGTTTGGGAGTCATAAAAATATATGTATATTTGTGTGCTTGTAGAAAGATTGTAGTCTTTGAAATCAGACAGATTCTTCTGTAAGCCTCAATTTCCTCATTCATAAAGTAGCATTGATGATAACTCTGCTTATGGAGTTATAGTTATTATATAAAATAATCTACCATATTCATTTATTATAGACTCTTGATATAAGATGCTCAAAGATATGGGTGCCACATAAATTTTGAGCATAAGTGATATATTGAAAGAATCTGAACAACCTTAATGATATTAATGTATCTGTGATATTTATTGATGACAAAGACACAGCTACTACTAATAAAACTGTGGTTTGTTTCCTACATTCCTAAAAAAAGTAAATGCTCAATTTTACTGAAGTTTGTGAGTATAATAATACTAACCTTTTCCCATCTAAGTTCACGGATCTCTGAATCCTATCCTATAATTTCTTCATTGAGTCCTATCCTACTTTAAACCCCACTCTAAGATAACATTGACTATAGAAATATTTTTATTCCTCTCACTTTCTCTGAAAGTTAGTAAGTAGAGTCTCTATATGATAGCTGTGGAACTTTCTGCCCTCTTTCACCTGGGGATTCTTGAAACAATGTTTATAGCCACTTGCATGCCCTTCTATCATATATTTTATGTGCCATGACCTAGAGGAACCTGTGTGTGCTTAAACTGGAGAAACCTTTCAAATGTCTAAAATATAGTTTCTCTGCTTGCCTATTGAGGATGTGTGTGAGTCCAGCATCTTTTATACTTTCTAATTTCCATCACTGACCATGTTGGCTAGGCTTGCTTCTAATGAAACTAATGTAGCCATAGCCACTTGAGAATAAAAATATAAAATGAGCTCCCTTGCCTTCAGTAAGCTATTTGTCCTCTGAACTTTATTTACAAACACCCCACAGTTAAGGCATTTGTTTCTTCAGGTTAATTTCACTGGCGTTGGTTTTCCCAGTAGGGAATGAGAGTTTCAACCTATGGGTAGGCCAGGTGAGAGAAGGAGCATGAGTTAGGCTGGGAAAGAAAAGCTCACCACAGGCCCCATGGAACAGGAAGATGGAAATGCAGGGGGAAAGGAAAACTCCAAAGCCATGAAATGAGAACAGGCATGATTGTGCCTATTCTCAGGCTGCAGAAACAAATGAGGTAGAGAAATGAAGAATCTATAAGGAAAATAAAAACCCAGTTACTATGTGTGTAGGGGGAGGAGAGGGGTGTAAGCTGCAAAAGTTGGAATAAATGTCTTCTTGTTTTAATCACATTAAGGATAAATAATGTGTGGCTTTTTTTGCTTGGAAACTGGCCAGCCATGTCAACTCAGAAGAAAGTAAGAAAAAAAATACAGACCTTGCAACTTTGTGCTTATTATTGTTGTTGTTCTAGCCATTTCTGTGTCCACTTGTCCACTTATCCATTTGCTGAGCATATCCCAAACTCCCTCATGCCTCTTTTGGAGGTGAACTGTGAAGTAAACTAGGTCACTTGGAGTTGAAAACAAAGAAAGGAGAGAAGAAGAAGAAGCTTTCTGCTGGCTTTTGAGGTGAGCTGAAAATCACTAATGAGATGCCTGGGTAAGGACTCCCTTAATGGCTCCTTCATGTATCACATTAACAGTGGAAATTGTTTACTAAGAGAGCAGAGAGGGATGTTTTCTGGTAGGAGAAGAAAGAGGTGGTGTACTAGACAGCTTTGATATTTGTCTAAGAAAAGGATTTCCCCCATAAGATACCAAGAGCTATTAGTAGTTCCAAGCACTTGGTTAGAAGAGGGCAGAAGGATGAAAGAATGATTCATTGAAAACCCAGGTGGAACCCACAATGATAAGATGAGTAATGATGAAAGCAATAAGCCTTCTTGGAAGAAAAGGAATTACACTAAATGCTTAGGAACTATCAGGCTAGTTTTCTTTTGTAGTTTGGCTCAAATCTACAATATAGTCAAATTTCAGGTCTTTAGGAATGGCAGTGTGCTTATCTGTGAGGTAAATTTTCCATAACAATAAGTTATAACTACACTCAGTCAATGACAAAACTGTGGGCCTTCTGTGATAGACAAATGGAAGGGGAGATTCTGTACCATTCACAGTGGTATCTTGCATCTATTTCTGTTTATTTAAATAATGCTGTTCCCCAAATCAGGGAAGTTTTTGACATTATTTCTTCAAATAGGTTCTCTAACCCTTGCTTCTCTTCTTATCATTCTGGCACCCCTATTATACGTATGTTGCTTCATTTCATGTTGTTCCAAAGCTCCCTCAGGCCCTCCTTCTGTATTTTGATTTTTTTTTCTCCAATTACAGTTCAGATTGAGTGTGTTTTATTTCCCTGTCTTCTAATTTTCTAATTCAGTCTTCTGCTTCTCTTAGTCTACTGTTGAAAGCTTCCATAGTGTTTTTTACTGTAGCTATATCACTATTTCCTCCTGATTCTTACATAGGTTGATTTTCTCATCCATCTGGTTTATGAACTGTATAACCCTTATTTTGAATTCTTTTTCTGACATCTTGCATGCCTCTTTTTCATTTAGTTACTTTTCTGGCAATTCCTCCTTTTCTTTCCTTTGGAGGTTATTCTTCTGTCTCCCACTTTTGCTCTCAGTGAAGGCTCTAGGTGTTAAGTCACATGGGGCCTGTGGCTGCATTGGTGGGCTTGGTGATGGGTTACACGGTCACAGGAAGTGACCACTGCTTGCACGGTTATGGGTGGCAGCTGCTGCTCTTGTGGTTACAGTGTGTCCGCTGCTCCTCTGGTGGTGGTAAACAGCTGCCCACAGGGTTGCTGGCACATTCATGCTGCTCAGACTAAAGTGTCTGGCTGGTGGAAGTGGAGCATCCTCCAGAACTCTTGGTAACCCTCAACCAGGGAGGCTGGATTCCTGGTGTGTATGGGTCAGTAGTTGAGGCAACAGGTACCTGGCTATAGGATCCTGGGTGGTGTCTGAGGGTTCCCTGGGTGGAGGTGAGGCTGGGTTCTCAATCACAGCAGCTCTCCCCTTCAAGATGGCATGGCCTCTGCAGCAGAACCAGTGATCTGGGAGATATTACTACAGTAGCAGAGGCTGCCTGGCTATGCGAACCCAGTCCACCAGCCCCCAAAATCCTGTGAAATCTAACTCTCCCTCACTCAGACACACAAACACACACACACACACACACACACACACACACACACACACCCCTTATGTCCACACACTCCCCTTTCACTCCCTCAATCACTCACATTCTCTCCCTCTCTGTCAACCTCTGGGCCACCATCTTTCAGGAAAAGCAATACACCAAAAAACTTTGCTCATTTTTTAATTGGGTTGTCTTCCTGGACTGGAGTTGTCTTATTGTTTTTGAGCTCTTACCTCAACTGTGTCTATATGTAGCATATGGATCTCATGGTTATGAAGGCTGAAAAAGCCCAAGTGATGAAAGAAGGGGACTGAATCCAAGAAGATTCTATCCAGCAAGGCTATCATTCAGTATTGAAGGGGAAATAAGGAGCTTCACTGACAACAAACAAACAAACAAGGCTAAGGGAGTTTATCACTACCAAGCCAGCAATGCAAAAAATGCTAAAGGAACTGGTATAAAAAGAAGAAATAAAAAGGAGAAAGGAACACAGGCACAAAAAATAAAAATGGCTACAAACAAATACCTATCAATAATAACTTTAAATGTAAATGGAATAAATGCTCCAATCAAACAACATCAAATGTTTACATAGATAAAAAAAGCAAGACCCATACATATACTATCTACAAGAGACCCACCTCAGGACAAGGGATTCCTACCATTTGCAACAGCATTGATGGACCTGGAGAGCATTATGCTAAGTGAAATAAGCCAGTCAGAGAAAGATAAATATCACTTGATCTCACTCATTTGTGGAATATAATGAACAACATAAATTGATGAACAAAAATAGAACCAGAGTCACAGAAGCATCAATCAGACCGTCAAACCTCAAAGGGAAGGCAGTGATGAGGGGGTAAGAGATCAACCAAAGGACTTATATGCATGCACATGAGCAAAACCAATGGACACAGTGGGGTGGGGGGGCAGGACATGTGTTGGGGGGTAGGGTTGGCCAGGGAGAAGTCAATAGGGGTAAAAGGAAACTTATGTAATACTTTAAACAATAAATAATTTAAATTGAAAAAAAAAGCCCTTTCTTTCTGCTGATGCTGAAACAGCATTTGAGTAAGACAAGAGCTGTGCTTTAGCACAGGAGGAAAGGGATAGCACAGGGAATTCGGAGTTTGAGTTTCAGTCTGAATAACTGATAAAATCACTGAAGTGTCTGATGCCTATTAGAGATCAGACTATATTTGCTTCATCGGGATGTTGGGAGCCTCAGATAATTTTACATTCAATTTATAGAAAAATTTTAAAAAGCTACAATTTTAATAAATTTGAGTCCATGACTATGAAATTCATTGTGTATGAACCATAATTGCTAGAATACACAAAGGCATCTGTCTTCTTTATTGACAGGTATATTGATAAAACACCCCTCCATGATCTGATATGATTCTCCATGTGAGGCAGGTAAGGCAGGTATCATAGTTCCAATTTTACAGATGATGAAACTGAGGCTTGATGAACTATTGCCAAAGTCACAGGATTTGCGAGTGGCCATGCAAAACTACACGCCCAAGACTTAGGACTTCTCTTTCAGTCCTTCCTCTATACCAGAACTTCTTCTAAGGATAGGCCTAGAAGTTCTTGCCATTCCCTTCAAAGTCTGTTTTAGTACATATCATCCAGATTATATAAACCAAGTTATATAATCTAATAAATCCTTTGGCTTAATGTGCTACCAGTTCCTCTGATTTATTGTAGTGAAATAGGAGTGTGTGTGTGTGTGTGTGTGTGTGTGTGTGTGTGCTTGCATATCTGCACGTGCACTTTGGGGAGGGGATAATTAAAAAATAATTTTGAATCATTGGCTTTTCATCATCTGTCAAAATGCTGATAGTATACCAGCAAAAAGCCTCAATTCACTGTATAAGCCTGGGCAAGTTTTTTCCCATCCCCTTATAAAATGAGGATAATATCTATTTTGTAGGGAGGCTGATAAATTTAAATGAAATCATTTGTATAAAGTACCCAGTCCCCTGATCTTTCTGTTGTAAGTGCACAACACAAGGTGGCTACTATCACCAACACAAGCAGAACCACAGGCAAAATTGGGAGAGATAGGTGCAAAAGCAGGGCTTGGGAGAGTTAACTGGCTAGATATAATGGAGAGTTTTACCTCACAAAAGTGATGGTTCTGGAAAAATCTGTTACTGTCCCCTAAGAAAGTTACCAGTGAGGACTGGGAGCTCTACATCCTTAGATTTACCTTTATCAAGTGGTAGTTACAAGTCTGCTTGCACAGTGAATCCACCAGATCAGAGAGTACAGGGATACCCACTAAGAAATAAAGAACCTGGATACTGACTGACAGTCAGGCCAATGAGTTTGGAAAATAGTTTGAGTAAAGCAAAGGTGACCTTTCAAGGAGATATACAGAGAAATGGGTCACTTTCAGAACTTCTGTTAAGATTTCATCCTTGTCACATTCTGGTTAATGGAAGAGATGCAACAAATAATTTTTGATACAACCAGTGAATTATAAGGACACTTCACAATGACCATCAGCAGATAAAACCTTGGTTAGGTTTACAAGTAGAATGGAAGACTGGGCCAGCTCTGCTAATTTTCTTTAGCTAAATGGAGCTATGCTTCAAGAAAGAATTGACTTAGAAAAATGTAAACTATTATAAAATATACTATTTTTATGTTGCAATTTTTCAGGTGAATTAGGTCTACCAGCTATCATGATTTCAATATCAGAGTTTGGATAGAGTGGGGCCAAATGCACGTTGTGCCCTTCTATGAAAATATCCTTTGCAAAATGAATTAGCTTTATATATATATATATATATATATATATATATATATATATATATATATATATTATTTTTTACAGAGAGGAAGGAAAAGGGATAGAGAGCTAGAAACATCTATGAGAGAGAAACATCTATCAGTTGTGCAGGAGGCAGCAGATGAATTAGCTTTTTGGATCAAATGTTTTGCCGTCAATTTACACTTGTGCTTTTTCTACAGGTCTTTGAATTTTAAGCATCTTTTGCTGTGGAAGGAAAAGTATGTTCCCCTGCTAAAGGGTCTTCTGACATCAGGGAGCTGGTTGGGAAGGTTTTGTAAGGACAAGGAATGCTGTGGAGTTTCGGAGGATGGGCTATAGTTGTCTACTATACCTCATTACAGCTGGGGCTGGTAAACACCCCTGTGATATTCTCTAGGTCCTAGCAGCCCTATATAGAGCCCATGGATCTTTCTATCACCAGCTTTGGTTGGAGAAGACAATGCATCTGCCTTTGAACTGGTTAGCGGGATAATAATAATTAAGTATAATATTAGCAGAAGGGGCTGATTTCTCTATACCAGGCTCAGAATTTCTGAGTGTCCTTAGCAGAGTATGGTGACTGTCCTGTGATCTGCTCAGTTCTGTTCACCCTTCAGCCTACGGACCACACTTTGAGAACAAGCGCCCTAATAGACTCTATAACTGACTTTTCCAACAGCTTTTGAGGGACGGCCAGACAGCTGAAAGTCCTTTCCCTGAACCTGCAGAAGTGATGGGGAGGATAATGTAAAGGAGGATGGCTCACAAGCTTGCTCCACCTCTCTCTCTTTCCCATAGAAGCTCCTGAGTTACCCCTGACAGAGGAGACCTTGGGCTGTGTGGACCTTTGGTCTTCTCTGCAAGCATCTCAGATAATTTTCAGGTCTGTCCTTGCCCAAAAGTAGTCATGACTGCAGAATCCCCAGAGTGCTTTCATGTTTCAAGTCTTGATCGCTAATGCCCCTTTCCACCCTCCTCTCACCTAAATTGCCTTTCCCTTTTCAGATCCCTGATCTCTGCTTTTCCCTGTTTGCTGCCAGTTGCTTCCTAGAGCCCTGGTACAGGATAGATGGGCCTTCATAATAACCCTGGCAGGCAGCTGTGGGGCCAGGGCCTCCCCTTTGAGTCTGGTGTGTCTTTGATTTTTTGACAGATTGGCAGCACACAGAAGCAAAACCCGTGTAAAAAGCTGAAGTAAAACGCCCAGCTCGCCACATGACACATGCTTGTACTACACTGTGACTGGCAGGTAAGGGGGAAAGCTATTTGCAGTGCCCAGCAAGCTAGATGCTTGTTCTGAAGAGCCAGCACAGCCTAAAAATACCACAAAGGGTAGGAGGGAGAGAAAGGAAACTTTAGCATGGAATAATATTAAAAAATTAAAAATAGAAAGGCTTTTGGTAAATGAGAATCACCAGTTGCTATTTTGCTCACCACCTGCAGGGCTTTTAGGATTTCCAGCAGACAGCCAGTAGCAGGCATGACAGAAAACAGTGAAATTATTTCTGGGAATGGAGTCAGGCCACCAATAGATGGAAGGTGGAAGCAAGTGTGGACAGACGGAAGTGTTATGTAGAGGGCTGAACTGATTGAGATTGACAATAACCCAGTATGGCAATTAATGAGATCCAATAGATGTGGGGTTTGCCTCCAATTTGATGAACCACTACGTCAGGCTTGTTTAACCTTGGCCTCAAATCAGTGAGATTGTAGAGTTTGCATCCTCCTCCTTCCCCAAATCCCCTATCCCTGCACCCAGCCTACCACCATAGCCTCTTCATTTATTTTAGGCTCTGGAAGATAAATGATTTGGTTGAGCTTCATTATTATTATCTTTCTTAGAAAATGTCTGGATTAGCCAGGTAAATAAATGTCCTCCCCACGAATAAGTTGCTCGAATCAAGGAACTCATATTGAATAGACCTGATGCAGCACTGGCAAGGTCTTTGGGGGAGGGAAGCTGTGCACTGTTAGCAGAGTTCAGAAAGTTTACCTTATTCCTTTATCCAGAATTATGCAGAGGAGGAAACTTATTTTCCTGTTCTCCTGTAGCAGATGTAGCAGATAGGACCCTCAATAAATGTTCGCAGATTTTCAAATAAATGAGTGATGGTCTAGGCTGGCATTCATTTAAAACTGTGGGATTTAGTATCAAAGCTGTTGCATTTGACTGGAGTTCTTTTAGTGATCGGCAGGATGAACCTTATGGTTCTCTAAGAACTGGTTGGTTATCAACCCAATAGTGCCATGTCAACCCCGCCCCCCCCCCCCCACACACACACACTTATCAAGTTACCAAAGGCATGCCAAGAGTCAGGGCCAGTTCCATCCAGAAAGACATTTGTCTGGGCCACTGTGTCAGCAATGTCACGTCCCTGAATGTGACCTTAAGCTGACCTTAGAGTCAAGCCCCATTCTGCTTGGCTATGAGAGCTGTTATTAAGTCTATATGCCTTTAAAAACTCCTCCTCTAATAGGTGAATTTGGTTGCTAAGTATTATAGGTTTTTGAGTTTCCATGGCACACTGAGAATTTCAGAAGACTATTATAGATATCCATATGCTGTAAAATATATAAGATGCATCAAAAACCACTAGGAGTATACAGAAGAATGTAGATAAACAGATACCAGATAATCTGGGCAGAAAAGACTCATGAAGTTGACCTTAGAGATGATAAAAGACTTGGGAGAAATTCTAGTGTCCTTTGAATAGCTTTGTTGGTGGGGATTCAAAAAGATGGTATCTTAGGTATAGATTTTTATTTTATTTATTGATTGATTATCTAAAGTTTTGAATATGTCTCCTTTTTCCCTGATTGACCACCCCCCCAGCCATTCCCACCCCAGGCAAGCCCCCACAGTCCCAGTGTCTGTGTCCATTGGTTATGCTAATACACATGCATACAAATCCTTTGGTTGCTCTCTAATACCTCCCTCTCCCCTGCCATATGTGGGATAATGGAGATTATCCATTTGATATAATTTCATATGATCAACATAATTTGATGAACAATAATAGATCCAGAGACAATATTTTTGATCATTATATCCCACATAGAGTATAATCTTGTGGTATTTATCTTTCTTCCACTGGCTTATTTCACTTAGCATAATGATTTCCAGTTCCATCCATGCTGTTGCAAATGGTAAAAGTTCCTTCTTTTTTATAGCAGCATAGTATTCCATTGTGTAGATGTACCACATTTTTTTAAATCCACTCATCTGCTGATGGGCATTTAGGCTGTTTCCAGATATTAGCTATGGTGAATTGTGCTGCTATGAACTCAGGGATGCATATATCCTTTCTGATTGGTGTTTCTGTTTTCTTGGGATATATTCCTAGAAGTGGGATTACTGGGTCAAATGGGAGTTCCATTTTTAGTTTTTTGATGAAATTCCATACTGTTCTCCACAGTGGTTGCACCAGTCTGCATTCCCACCAGCAGTGCATGAGGGTTCCTTTTTCTCCATATCCTCACCAGCACTTGTCATTTGTTGATTTGTTGATGATAGCCATTCTGACAGGTGTGTGAAGGTATCTCATTGTTTTGCTTTACATCTCTAAGATGATTAGTGACTTTTACCATGTTTTCATAAGTCTTTTGGCATAGGTATAGGTTTTGTAAAGCTACACCTAAGACTAGGAAGCATATAATTCAATATATTTAATAGCCAAGGTTCAGAGAAGTTAAATGACTTTTTCAAGCATCATCAGTAATTTTAGGCCTCAGTGTTAAAATTAGCAATATGGGCTTAAGATGGAAGATAATTTCATAGGTTTTTTCATAGTACCACATTTCAGTTCCTTTTTATAACTGAATATTCATGATTTCAGAAACAACAAGGAAGGAAGATTAAGGAAGAGAATGTTATTTTGCATTTTTTGTATGCTTTGCATAGTGCCAAGTACTTTATATACATGAGCATATCTAATTCTTAAAATGTACTTTTGAGGTGGGTAGTGAAAGCTAGATTTTTCAGTAAATGAAACCAAGATTCACTAGCACACTGATTTTTGGCATATTAATTTGACTACAAAGGCCACACTTAGTCTACATTACCACACATCAGACTGCCAACCAGATTAGCTCAGAGGCCTAAGTAGATAGGCCAGTTTTGTTCTGGTCAACTGCCAAAATCAAGGTCACACTAAGTTATGAAAAGGGAGGTGTCACCCTGGACTTGATACATGGTAGAAGAGTGCACATTTCTTCTTTGATGATCAAGGAAACAATAGCAAAATTATAAAAGTTACTATAATAGAAAATAGAAAAGTTACTATAGGAAAGAATTGCAAATTATAAAACCTAACTCATGAAAAAGCATTTTCCTCATCCTAAACCTTTAGCTGCTGCTTCCATCCTTCTTAAATTTATCTATTGAATGAGGACTATGTTTTTTTTTTAATATTAAAAGGAATCCTATAATATTTACAGAAAGGCTGAATGAAAAAATATTTTAAAATCTCAGAGTAAAAGACTAAGACCAATAGGTGGAAATTAAAAAATGGCAGGTTCCCCCTAGCTGGTTTTGCTCAGTGAATAGAGCAGACTGAAAGGTCTCAGGTTTGATTCCCATCAAGGGCACAAGGCCTGGTTTTGGGATCAATCCCTAGTAGTGGGCATGTAGGAAGCAGCCAGTCAATGATTCTCTCTCCTCACTTGTTGTTTCTCCCTCTCTCCATCTCCCTTCCTCTCCTCTTTGAAATCAATTATATATATAATAAAAATTGGAAGCTTCAAGCTAACAGGAAGAAATTTTAGGCAAATGGGTCTGTGTGACTATGAGATTGGTTGCTTCAGAATGAGCTAAGTTTTCTCCCTTGGACATGCTTAAACAGAAGTTTGAAAATACTTTGGGGATTTGCCATAGGACAAATATTATATTGGATGATCTCCAAGGGCTTTTAAGGATCTGAGAGTCCATGACATGTGACACTAACAGAGGATCAGTAGCTAACTGGACCCATTGACTTTTCTAACCTGTCATTATGCAAATCTCTGCTTAGTTTGCTCATCATCACCATCAATACTAATCACTAATCAAAACTGTACAAACATTAATCTATTTTCAATTAGAAACAGATTTTGCACTTATCTGAGCCAACTGTGCTCTAATTCAGTGCCAAAAGAAGGATTTGGGGAATGAGACCCAAGTCAAATGAGTATGTATGCTTCTGTTTGAGTCATGGAAGATTTAAGGGAAGAGTAGATGGAAGCCACAAGGAGGCAAAACTGGCCAAATCCTTTGGAGGAAGTAGCTTCTTCTTACTGAAGCTGGGCCTCATTCAGGTCAGCTATGACTAGAGCCAGGGTAGGAGTCAGATGTTATTTGGGAGACCAGATCATTGCCTCTTTAAGGTCCCTTCTAAGCAAAGAATCTTTGGAATTTTTGTTTGTTTTGTTAATTCTCACCCAAAAATATTTTTCCCATTGATTTTTAAAGATAGTGGAGTGGGACAGAGACAGAGAAACATCAATGTGAGAGAAACATATCAATTGGTTGTCTCCCACATGTGCTCCGACCCAGGGCTGGGAATCCAGCCTGCAATCAACGTATGTGCCCTTGACCTGGAATTGAACTTGAGACCCTTTGGTCCACAGATTGATGCTCTAACCACTGATCAACAAACCAAAGCAATCTCTGGTTTTTAATGAGGAGCCATTTAGGAATCACTAATTATGGAAGATAATATGACATTTTAAAAAATATATTTTTATTGATTTCAGAGAGAAAGGGAGAGGGAGAGAAAAATAGAAACCTCCATGGATAGGCTGCCTCCTGCATACCCCACACTGGGATGGAGCCTGCAATCCAGGCATGTGCCCTGACTGGGACTTGAACCATGACCTCTGGTTCATAGGTCAATGCTCAACCACTGAGCCACACTGACCAGCCAATCTGACATTACTATATAGATTTAAAAATGTTCTGAATCAAATTTTGGCTCATAGACCTGTGTTCTACTTCCAGGTCCAGCACTAATTAGTTGTGTGTAATCAATATGTTTTTTTTTTTAATCTTTGAGGGACTCAGTAGCCTCATGAATAAAAGGGTAAGTCATTCATTTATTCATTCAATGCCCACCATATGTAAGGCACTGTGCTAGGTGTGTGGGGGGAACAGATAAATCAGACTCTCACAGAGTTGAAAGACTCAATTGAGATGCTACATTTAAAGTTGCATCATGAAGAGAAAGAGCTACAGAAACAAGAGTTTAAGACATGACAGTTATGGGAAACAGCTGATTCAAT